AATTCATAGAATTATAAATACCAAAAAAGTAAAAAAATTTTTCTTGACGTTAAGCATCCATTTTGAAGGGTACAAATACCGTGGAATCTCCTGGATGACCCTTGGAGAGTAAGGATTAGGCCCCTTGAAAGCACTTCAGGATGTGACTGTGAAGTGGCAGACTTCAGAACCAATTACAATGTTAGGCCTCTGGGGTTTCCTGGCCTTTGGGAGGCAGCTGTTAGTGAGAACCGAGAGGATTGCACACTACCTGGACAGGTTTCCTCGGACGGAGTAGGTATGGAGGAATTAAGACCCTGAAAACTCTGGAAACCCATGTGAAATGCTCCGTGGTACATATGGCCCTCACTGCAGAACAGCCCTTCTCCCTTCTTCTATGTAAACCAATCCCAACAATGGCATCGTGTGGTGGCGAGAAGCAAACACCATCAGTGTCCCTGTACGGCTTGGGTGTGGAGGCTGAACTTGACTCTCCGGGGACAATTCCAGAAGTGGAGATGAACTCAAAGACAAGATTCTGAGCTTCCACTAACTAGCCAGGTGGGTATACAAAGAATTATGTGGGAAAGTAAGATATGGCTGTACTTGTACCCTGAGTTTGTGAAGCATTTTACATATTACCACAAAGAGCACAACATGGTAGTTTTATACTCTGTGTGCCTCCATGATTTAACTCCTATTAACAAATTGTATTAGTTTTCTATTGCTCCCATAACACATTATCATGATCCTGTGGCTTACACATTTATTATCTTATAGTTCTGTGGGTCAAAACTAACATAGCTCTCACCGGGCTAAAATTAAGTCATTGGTGGGGCTATGTTCCTTTCTGAAGACTCTAAAGCAGAAAGCAGTTCCTTGCTTATTTGAGTTCCTGGCACAATTCAGTTCCTTGTGGTGCAGAACTAAGCTCTAATTTCCTTTCTGTCTGTCAGCTGGGGGCCATTCCCAGCATTGAAAGGCCACCACATTTCTCGGCTTGTTAGAACCATCTTCCTTCTTCAAAACCACCAATGGCAGATCAAGTCATCTCCCCCTAGTCTCTCTGACCTCCCCTTTTACTCCTTCTTTCTACTTTTAAGGATTCATATGATAGATTTAGGACCCTTTCAGATAAATCAGGATATCCTCCCCAGCTCCTTAACCTCGATCACATCCACATAGTCCCTTTCATCACGTCATGTAATGTATCTCCAAGACATTAGGACATGGATACCTTTGGGAGACCATTAATTCTGCCTACCATAGATTTTGAGGTTTGCTTAAATATAGTTTTTTGGGAACCAGCAGATAGTGTAATGGTTACGTTGCTGGATGTCCACGCAGTTGACCATGGTTTGAGTCCCAGACCCAGTACCTTAAAACTCATGCTGGGTGCATGTGTGTGTGCCCAAAATCCTGAGTGGAGAATGGAGAAGGAACTGTAGCATGGCCATTCTCACAAGGGTGATTTGTCACTTTCTGTCACTCTCTTTCTGTCTCTCCGACAAGCACATGTGCCCAATAGCAAAAATCCAGCACTGGCAGCTTGAAAAACACACTGGGCATGTGCGGGTACATGCCCCAAATCCCAACAGGATAGAGAAATGGAAAAGAGGCTGTAGTGTGACCATGCCCCAAAGGGGGGTGCTTTCTCCTCCCACTCTTCTGGCGTGCATGCACACCCTTTGGCAATTAAAAAATGTATATAATTCCATTTATTCATTTGTGAAAAATCCTATTTATTATGCATACTATTTTATTCCAGTTGTCCCTACTACCCAATGCTTGCTTCCATGGCATGCTCAAATCCTGGAGCATGGCAGGAGATAAAGCGAAATGGTAGTAGATTGTGGGATAGTGGAGGGGGGGAGAGGTGAAGGAGGTGGGACAGTTCAGCAGCTCCAACAAAGTATTGCTTCAATCTTGTAGTTTACCTTTGGAGCAACAACGATGAAGATATGAGGTATGCTTTAAATGCAGTAACTGGCCTCAGTATCCCCAAATGAACAAGTCCTAGTACACCCGTATCAGATGACTGTGTTTCCGGAGAATCCACACATGGAACAGCAGCAGCTCTTGGGTCACAGGACAGATAACATTAAACTTGCTGCAAGAGGCCTATCTTGGTATGGGCTTAACTGTGTCTCAAAGGTGGCCCGTGTTAGCAGACAGCCTGGGTGGCAAGGAAACCTTAGCTTTGCCAGAGATCAGTCTGGGTCTCGGTTGAGTATAACCGTTCATACTAAAATAAAGATATAATGCCTCCTCTAGTTGTTTGGGTTAAGTATTAGCAATAACCTAAGCGTACAGGACATGGCAGAAAATGGGCACTCAGTAGTAATACCTACATTATATAATTATTTCTTTGCCTAGAAAGACCGAAACATAAACAAACTCAAAAGTTCTGCTGAATAGACTAATGGATGTATGAACAAATGGCTGGATAAATAAAACCATAAGAAACAGTCAATTCCAATGAACTATTTTTTCCAGACTGAGTTTAAATATCATTCCCTCTGGGATACTACCTTCATTCCAAACTTTACGAACGTTTTGACATTTATTAGTGTAGGGTTTTGGTTTTGTTTTGTTTCGTTTTGTTTTTGAGAAATTTTTGCTATAGGGCGTGTGTGCTCACTGGAGAGACAGAGAGACAGAAAGTGAGAACTCACCCCTCAGGGGGATGACCACACCGCAATCCCTTTTCCTCCATTCTCCTCTTAGGATTTTGGGTACGTACACACAAGCATCTGGTGTGAATTTCAAGCTGCCAGGTCCAGGACTCAAACCGTGGTTGACTATGGAGGTCCAGCGATGTAACCATTATCCCATTTGTTAGTGCCTATTTTTTTTTAAGAATTATTTTATTTAACTTATTTATTTTAATTTGACCAATGAGCAACAGAGAAGAGAGAGGAATGGTGAGAAAGCAAGCCACCAGATCCAGGACTCGAACCGCAGTCAGCCATATGGGAGTCCAGTGCCCTTAACAACCATGTCACCTGCCAGTCCCCACTGGTCCCTATTAGTGCGGGTTTTAAAGCCAGATTGTTTGTGTTTGAACTGTGGTTTCACTACTGTGTTTTTTGGCAATTCACACAAATTCTCCACTCGGCTTCCTTAATTTGAAACTGGTGCTTTTAATAAAGTTTCTATAAAGATTAAAAGCATTAACAGGCCTAGCTATGGTAGCACAGGTGGCAGTGCACCACTCTGCAATCCTGGGACCACTCGGAACACTAGAGTTTGGATCCTGGATCAACGTGAAACACGTCATGCATGCACATGTGTGTGCGTGATCCAAGCAGGCTAAAAGACTGGCGTTGGGGAATTGTGGATGAAAAGACCCTGTTGATGGGCCCTGTCTCTCTCTTACAAAAAGAAACTTTTTAAAGGGTGGGGAGGGGCCAGCAGGTGGCAAGGTGGCGCTAGACTCCTACATGGGGGAACTGTGGTTCGAGTGCTGGACCTGGCAGTTTGCTTTCTCACTTTCTCTCTCTCTCTTCCCCTGTTGAGCACAACAAAAGGAGGGGAGTTAATACAAAAATATATTATCAGATTGGCTGGTCCACAGTAAGCATTCAATAAATATTAGCAATTATTAAATATCACCCACCACACTCTACAAATTATTTACTTTGTATTGTGACCAGTGAACCGTAAGTTCTATGAGAGCAATAACTTACGTGTTTTATTCACTAAAACTGTCCCTTGCAATCTAGTAGGCATTCAATAAACTAGTTGTTGAATTAACTTCCACGTACTCAAAAACAATGAAAAGGCTGCAATTATACACACACAATTAAGATCTGGGCCTGTATATGGCAGGTGCTCTTTAGATGTTGACTGAAGGAGTGAATGGAGACAATGAGATGGAAAGTGATTCAGAAAAATGACAGTACTACATCAGATAAGCAAAAAAAAAAAAAAGGAATTCCAGTTATCTTTGTAAACTTTTTATTTAAAAAATAAAATTATAAACAAAATACAGAAAAATATTGACACCTGTGAAAACAAGGAAATTAATCTTAATCTCTAGGGCCTTTTGTTGTCCTGGAAGAATAATATCATGAATTTTACAAAGCAATTTGATTGTGTAAAGAGGGAATGTAATATTTAAGGTTCATTTACAATGGGCATTTGGCATTGACAGAAAAAGTATTTCTAAGTATACATTCAACATTTTGCAGCATATTTACATTCAAGTTACATTTTCAAATTCTATGCCAAATACACTCTAACTCACAATCCAAAAAACCCTAAGATACTACTAAAATTTTGTTTATTTGGTATGAGTGCAATACAATTTTATTAGAAAATAATAATTTTATGTTCCTACTAAATCAAGTGTATTTTTTTCTGCTTCAACAGAATTCAATGATGATGTTCTCTTCCCCAAAATAAGCTTCTTTTAGGCAAATTAAATAGTAACTCAAATGTGGTCAGTTACAAAATTATGTAATAATTTTTCTTTCTTCGGTGGAAATATTATTAAAACTTTCAATAGGCAACACCAGTTCTGACAAATCACTTTTTCTTTTCCAATAGTTAGGGTTTCTTATAGATACAAGTTGTAGAATTGTAACTTCTTTTAAAAAGATGGGTGAAGCACTTTCTTCTTTTAGTTGTTACCAAATTCCTCAACAAAGTAAAAGATATTAGGAAACCCAGACAGCAGTTGCTGAAAACATTTTTCCACTTTCCCT